GACACACACCACGTAGTTTGAGACACACTACATACACACACACCACGTAGATTATGGGACACTCTACATACACACACACACACCACGTAGATTATAAGACACTACATACAGACACACACACCACGTAGATTATGAGACACTCTACATACAGACACACACACCACGTAGATTATGAGACACTACACCATATAGCTGACACACACACACTACACACACACTATAAATAAAGATCCCCCATATAGTCTTAGCAGACTGTAGGGGCAAGTGCTGTTAGCGAGCACCTATGAAGGCCGGAACGGTACACGAAGGGGTGGGTGGCCAGCACCACGCCCGACCGCCTTTGTCTCCCCAGTGGCAATGTTTACACACCGCACCAGGTACTCATTTGAGGCTGAGTCGACCTAGGGGAGGCCCAGGACCGATAATCGTCACTGGTGTTGGCCTTGAGCGGGAATCGAACTCGGGTCTCCAGGTTTATAGCGCAGCGTAGCGCTAACCGCTACACTACCGCTCCCCATACACTCTACACACACTACACACACACTACACACACACACTACACACACTACACACACACACTACACACACACACTACACACACACACTACACACACTACACACACACACTACACACACACACTACACACACTACACACACACTACACACACTACACACACACTACACACACTACACATACACTACACACACTACACATACACTCTACACACACTACACATACACTCTACACACACTACACACACACTCTACACATACACTACACACACTCTACACACACACTACACACACACTACACACACTCTACACACACATACACTCTACACACACACACTACACACACCACACACACTACACACACACTACACACACACTCTACACACACCCACACTACACACACTACACACACTACACACACACTACACACACACACTACACACACACTACACATACACTCTACACACACTACACATACACTCTACACACACTACACACACACTCTACACATACACTACACACACTCTACACACACACTACACACACACTACACACACTCTACACACACACACACACTCTACACACACACACTACACACACCACACACACTACACACACACTACACACACACTCTACACACACACACTACACACACTACACACACACTACACACACACACTACACACACACTACACACACTACACATACACTACACACACTACACATACACTCTACACACACTACACACACTACACATACACTCTACACACACTACACACACACTCTACACACACTACACACACTCTACACACACACACTACACACCACACACACTACACACACTACACACACTCTGCACACACTACATATACACTACACACACTCTACACACTACACTACACACACTCTACACACACTCTACACACACTACACACACTCTACACACACACACTACACACCACACACACTACACACACACTCTACACACACTACACACACTCTACACACACACTACACACCACACACACTACACACTCTACACACACACTACACACACACTCTACACACACTACACACACTCTACACACACACTACACACACTCTATACACACTCTACACACTCTACACACACACAACACTACACACCACACACACTACACACACACTCTACACACACTACACACACTCTACACACACACTACACACCACACACACTACACACCACACACACTACACACACACTCTACACACACTACACACACACTACACACACACTACACATACACTACACACACACTCTACACACTCTACACACACACTACACACTACACACACACTACACACACTCTACACACACACTATACACACTCTACACACACTACACACACTCTACACACACACACTACACACCACACACACTACACACACACTCTACACACACTACACACACTCTACACACACACTACACACCACACACACTACACACCACACACACTGCACACACACTCTACACACACTACACACACACTACACACACACTACACATACACTACACACACACTCTACACACTCTACACACACACTACACATACACTACACACTCGCTGTGTAGTTAAAACCAGACGTGCTCTGTTTCTTGTGCAGGAACAGGAGATTACAATTCGCTGGTGAGTACGTCATACATCGTCCAATTAGCTTGCTCAGAAGTTTAAACAAATCATCCTCTCGGCTAAAAGCGCGACCAGCTGAGCCGGCGGCGGGAATTCCACATTCCCATGGAAGGGTCCGGGCGCTTCCGCATGATGACCACCGATCACGGGCTGATCCGTCGTGCGGAGTTGACGCGTGGCGGTCGACTGCCTCGCCGAGCGATGGGGCTTCAGTGGCGGAAACGAGACCGCCACTCGCAAAGGAGAGCGGCTCAAACCCGAGTGGGGTCATCGTCGTCTTCATCATCATCATCACGTGGACAAATACTCTAAACCAGTGGTTCTTAACCATTACTGTAACCTCGCAACGCTTTTTGCTTCTCGATCGTAATCTTTATATATTTTTTTACAATGTTAATAAATACACACGGGGTTTGATGAAACAAAGTAAGTTGTTACTTACGCACCCGTGCTGAATGTGTGTGTGTGTGTTTCGATGATTTACCTTCTAACACAAATCTGGACCGTGTCTCGCACCACCTCCAGAAAGGGCATCCCGCGACCCCCAGGGTGTGCACGGTGCACCCAAGGTCGAGAAGAATCGTCCCAGGGTGTGCGCGGTGCACCCCGGGTCGAGATGAATCGTCCCAGGGTGTGCGCGGTGCACCCCGGGTCGAGATGAATCGTCCCAGGGTGTGCGCGGTGCACCCCGGGTCGAGATGAATCGTCCCAGGGTGTGCACGGTGCACCCCGGGTCGAGATGAATCGCCCCAGGGTGTGCGCGGTGCACCCCGGGTCGAGAAGAATCGCCCCAGGGTGTGCACGGTGCACCCCTGGTCGAGAAGAATCGTCCCAGGGTGTGCGCGGTGCACCCCGGGTCGAGATGAATCGCCCCAGGGTGTGCACGGTGCACCCCGGGTCGAGAAGAATCGCCCCAGGGTGTGCACGGTGCACCCCTGGTCGAGAAGAATCGTCCCAGGGTGTGCACGGTGCACCCCGGGTCGAGATGAATCGTCCCAGGGTGTGCGCGGTGCACCCCGGGTCGAGAAGAATCGTCCCAGGGTGTGCACGGTGCACCCCGGGTCGAGAAGAATCGTCCCAGGGTGTGCGCGGTGTTCATTCTAAATGTGGCGGGGGCGGGAGGGGGACACAGAGGATCCGGAGAACAAAACATTCCACGCGACCGTGGGCAGAGAGAGAGAGACACGCAAACTCCAAATATCACAACAGGCACCATCGGGGTCGTGATCGAACCAACCGACCTCCTGTATGCCAGGCGAGGTAGTTAACATCGCCTAGACACCACCGCGCCCCCAAGTGACGGTTCTGATTCTGAGGTTCTCAAGACCCCCGAGGTTCCCTGAGTTTCTCAGAAACCCTGGCGGCTTTAGAGCCGCCACCAGAGACGGTGGAGGAGATGATGGAGCGAGCGAGCGAGCGAGGCAGCGAGTGTGTGGGTTGTCCGTGCGGCGTCTCCTCCTTGCCAGGGCGGGCCGTGCCATGTCCGAGGCGTGGACCCTGAAGGAGATGGAGGCGCTGGGTGCTGAGAATAGCGACGACGATGACGACGACGGAGGAGGAGGAGGAGACAAGGTCGTGGAGGACTCTCTGAGCGTCATAATCAACCAACTCCGCAACCTGGGACAGAGCGGAGGCGACGAGTCTGAGGTCTACATCCAAAGCGCCGTCCCTCCGAGGTGCCACCAGCACCATCGTCATCCTCACGTCGTCCCCAGCAGCAACAGCAAAGTTGAACTGCTTTTTGTCATTAGTTGTTCTTCCTCCGCACCTCCGATTAGCACGGTTGGTTCCGTACGGTGCGAAAGAAGTCCACCATGCACGTACATTTATGCATTGATATTGTTGGACCTCGTTTTTCCATAGCCTCCCGTTCAACGTTCTGCGCTGTCACGAACGTTGGCATTGGGCGCGTAAATGTACGCGATTTAACCCAACAAACTTCTATTATGGACCTAACAACGTATTAGTTCGGCAGACCGGCGACCAATGCAGCTCAGCGAGCACTGGACAGACACAGTGTGGCCTCGCAGCAGTAACCCGTCACGACGCGTGCCAGAGAATGTTGTCCACGCTGCAGCTTGCGAATGTGTTTTGTTTTACCGGACGTCCCGTAGAGTATTGCGCTGCAATAATCGAGCCTTGTCGATATACTCCGCTGGCCACGTCCTGTCCCCTCTGCCGCCCCCACCCCGCAACCCGGCAGCCCGTACAGCACCCTGCCTCGCCAGTGGAGCCAACACCTCTCTGCGCCAGCCGGGCAGCCCCGGTGCAAGCGCATCCTCACGTTCGCTCCGGACATCCACTCGCAGCGGCAGGAGGAAGAAGACGCGTCGTGTTGCGTCAAAGCGGCTGAGCTCGGTCTCTCCATGCCGTGCCATTACTGCGTCGCCGACACCAATTCGCCCAGCCCGGAGGAGCGGTGCGGCGACGGTGAAGACGACGGTGGCGGCTGCGGCGACGGCGTCACCGCCGCGGGCGACGTCTCTTACGGCGACGGCTGGTCGCCGGCGCCCGCCAGCACCCACGGGAGCTACGTGGCCGGGCGGCACGGCGGCAGGGGGGCGGACGCCGACGGCCGCCACCACCACAACCACCATAACCACTACAACCACTACAACCACCAGCAGCAGCAGCAGCAGCAGAACCACAGTCATCAGCGGCGGAGGCACGGCGACGAGGAGGAGGAAGAGTTGGAGGCGGGCCGACACCATCGCTGGGACGCAGGTGACACACGCCTGTGCAGAATCAGAATCAGAAAACAGAATCAGAATGTTTGTTTATACCGGAGGAGGAATCCGATGAGCTGTGAAGCTCTTTTATTTGTTTCTTCCCGTGCCCCTCCTGGAGCTTGTGGGGCGAATAACGCCGCTGCACGGGCTCTCGCAACGGGTCAGCCGCTCCAAACTATTTTGAATTTGACCAGGTAAGGCCCACTGAGCTGTCATTTGTGGTAGCGACCTGGCTATCACATCATCTCTTCTAGATTTGAAGCTTTCGTGACTGCAAGGATCCATACTCTTTGGTTCTATTCGGTAAAGTCACCTACGTGACTTTACCGAATAGAACCAAAGAGTATGGCTCATCATCGTGTGGTCACGCGGGAAATGTGCAGCCGAATGGTCGGAACGCGTGACGTCGATTCCAAATGTGGAGGGGGGAAATGAAATCGGAGGAGCCAGAGAAAAATCCACGCGACCACGGGGAGAGAAAGAGAGAGACACGCAAACTCCAAATATACTTTCATAATAGAGTTTATTTTGGGTTAGATCGCGTAAAAAAAAGCCTACGTGTTAAACTCCTAATATACAGGCATCGGTCAGGGTGGGGATGGAACCCGCGACCTCCTGCATACCAGGCGAGGTAGTTAACATCTCGCCAGCTCAACGTTGGCAACGGTAGCGGCTGACCCGTTGCTGGGGGTCAGCCGCTCCAAACCATCGGCCACTTCGTAAACACTCCACTGCTGCTGTCCTTGATCCGTTGAGGGAGGATTGGAGCAGATCCACTCCGCGTCTGTAACAGACTGCAAGTTGAGTGGATAGCAAATCTAAAACGCCGCCTTTAATCCGCTGTTGTTACTCCGCGCTGAGAGAATAAGCTGCTTCCCGTGCCAACGTCTGTTTTGGATTATTTTTGCCTTTTCAAGTGTGCAAATGATGGTGCCACTTTGTTGAGCTATCATTTGTGGCCAGGTCGCTTCTGAAAAATAAGTTAATACCTCGGTGGGCTTTGCATGGTAGGATGGGGATGGCTTAGTGTTGTTGTATTTGTTTGTGTGTGTGTGTGTGTTGGGTGATAATTGTTTACCTCTCTTGCACGTTGCACTCCCGTCGTGTTTTCGTGCTGTTTGTCGCCGTCACGTCCCTTACCCCCCCCCCCCGTACCCCCGACTGTGTGATAAAGAGCCTCGAAGCTCATCGGATTCCTTCTGCAGTCTAAATACAACATTCTGTTTCTGAGCCTTGCGATGCTGCTGTCGTCCTGTGTTTCACCGCTCGCTGCACGTGACCAACTTCGTCTTCATCGTCGTCGTCTTCGTCGTCGTCGGCGGCGGCGGCGGTGGTGGTGGTGGAGCAGGTGGCCGTGACGACGTCCGCCACTGGAACCACGCGGGGCCCCCGCGGAGCTGGCGGCTGCTGGAGCCGTTCTCCACCTCGTCGCTCGAAGGAGACGACAGCTTCGAGCTGATCCTGCGCGAGGCCGACGCCGACGAGATGGCCACCGCGCGAGCCGCGCTCCACAAGAAGGAGAAGCGGCGGAGGGACGGCGACGGCGACGGCGACGGCGCCGACCGCGGCGCCGGCAAGCGCCGGCGAGGCTCCGGCCGCCTCTTCTGCTGCCGCCGCCGCCGCCGCCGCCGCGGGTCCGAGCCGGGAGGCGGAGACGGCGGAACGGGCGGTCGCGACGGCGGGCGGCGGTGCTGGCGCTCGCTGGGCTCGTGCGCGCTGGCGCTGCTGCTGGCGCCGTGCCTGGCGTACGCCGCGTTCGCCGCGCTGACGTGGAGCGCCGTGGCGCCGGGGAGCGCGGCCGCGCCGACGACGGCCGAGCGGCTGGCCTACGCGCTCCGTTGCGGCGCCCTCGCCCTGCTGCCGCTCGTGCTGGGTGGGTCGGCGAGGGGGGTTGCGGGGGGGGGGGGGGGGGGGCGGGGGGGGTCCGCCGGGGGTCGCGGAATCGTCGGGGGTCGTCGGGGTCGCTGGGGTTGCGACGTTGCCTGGGCGGTTGGGGCCGTGGGGTCACTTTGTAGCTGGGGTCGCGGAATTGTTGGGGTCGGGGAATCGTCGGAGTCACCGGGGTCGCGAGGGTCACAGGGTCATGGGGTCGCCGGGGTTGTAGATTCGTCGGGGTCGCGAGCGTTGCTGGGGTCACCGGGGCCACGGGGACGCCAGGGTCGTCGGCACGGGTCGATAGACGCTGCTGGTGCGATTCTGAGTTTGATTCTTGGGTTCAGTGACGGAGGTTGGGATCGCATTCGTGCTGATGAAACCCCAAAAGGGGCGAAACCAGCGTCAGTGTTTCTTCGACGAGACAACCGCCGCTTGCAAATAACATTCGTTTGGAAAGCCAACAACGAGTCGAGAGAGTCGAATGTGTCTTAACGCGTGGAGATGCGGACTGCTGCACATATTTGCTTTGTCCGTGCGAGAGGTAGGTCTTGTTCCACTCTCGGCCAAAACGCAGAAAGTTGGCAAAGCGGGGAGCACAGTTGGCTCATCTGCCGGTCATCTCAGTCAGACGACCCCATGGCGCCACTCGGGTCTGTCCCGTGACCTCCAGCCAGCGAGACTTCGACCCTTCACGCGGCCTCAAAGTGCACCTAGCATGGCACAAGCGCCGGTTGTTGATGTGCATTAACACCACTCTGTGATCGCGCTGCGCCATGAGCAGAGTTCAATTCCCGCTCACGGCTACCAGCACCAGTGCCGATTGTCGGAACCGGCCCTGGGCCGCCGCTAGGTCGACTCGGCCTCAAATGAGTACCCGGTGTGATGTGTTAACATCAGCACTGGGGAGACAAAGGCGGCCGGGCCGGCGCGTTTCTGGCCACCCACCCCCTTCGCGCGCCGCGTGCCTGGCCGCCACTGGCCACCAGCAGCACTTGCTCCCCGCCTCCCCGACGTTCCATCCCGAGCTAGTGCGGGAGGATCTCTGTCTCTGCATTCCCCGCCCCCTACCGCCAGGCATGCTGGCGGTGGGGCTGGCGCTGCTGCTGCGGGAGCTGCGTGGCGGGCCCGCCGAGACGTCCGCAGTGCGCGCCCAGCGCGCGTTCGTCAGCGACACGGCGCACCAGCTGCTGCTGCACCAGCTGGCAGCCCTCGTGCTCGCGCTCAACGTGGAGCCACACTTCCTGCCTCTCGTCCTCGTCATGGCCGCACTCTTTGTGATCTCACGGTAAGGGGAGCGGCGGGGGGCAGATGGCATGTGGCTTCCTGCCGTAGATTTGTCGATCGCTCTCCTATCTCCTCTCTCTCTCTCTCTGTGTGTGCTCGTGTGGGTTTTTTATAAGGGTCCTCAGGTTTTATTTTTTTTTCCCCCCTCCACATTTAGAGCCGCAGCTGGAACGAAAGATTTCGCACGCGGTGATGGTGAAGCCGCTTCGTTGGGCTGTCGTTTTGCGACGGACAGGTCGCTCAAGTGTGAGCCTCACCTGGTGGGATCAAAAATAGTTTCGTTTTTGGGGTTTTTTTTAACTCGCTAACAGCACTTGCCCCAAAATTTTTTGCACTTTAAATTTCCACGTGACAAAGCCAAGGTCGTTGAGCCGTCATTTGTCAACTGCCAGATCGCTTGTGAAAAAAGAGCTACACCACTCAAGTGTAGGCCTCACCTGGTGAAATGTAAAGTTTTAGTTCGGCTCGCTAACAGCCCTTGCCCCCAACGGCAAGGGGGGGGGTGGTAGTGGTGGTGGTGGGGGGGGTGGTGGTGGGGGTGGTGGTGGTGGGGGGGGGTGGGGGGGGTGGTGGGGGGGGGTGGTGGTGGTGGTGGTGGGGGGGTGGGGGTGGGGGGGGGGTGGTGGTGGTGGTGGGGGGGGTGGTGGTGGGGGGGGGGTGGGGGTGGTGGGGGGGTGGTGGTGGTGGGGCGGGGGTGGTGGTGGTGGTGGGGGGGGTGGTAGTGGTGGTGGTGGTGGTGGTGGGGGGGGGTGGGGGTGGTGGTGGTGGTGGGGGGGGGTGGTAGTGGTGGAGGTGGTGGTGATGGTGGGGGTGGTGGTGGTGGGGGGGGGGTGGTAGTGGTGGAGGTGGTGGTGATGGTGGGGGTGATGGTGGTGGGTGGGTGATCTTTTACCTTTCCCCCTACTGTGTCCGTGTCCGTGACCCAGCCTCGTGTTCTGGGCGACCTTCAGGAGCTGCTACGCCGGCTTCGGCTTCTGCCTGAGCTTCGCCCCGTCGCTCGCGATGCTCTGCCACGCGCTCTACTGCCTCTTCACGCTGGGACCAGCCGGCCCGCACGGCGGCCTCGCCCCCGGCGACGGGGGCCACGGGGGGACGGGGGCCCGCGCGCCGCCAACCCCCCACGTGCCCCCGCAGGTGCAGTGGTGGGGCAGCTGAGCCGCCGGAGCCGGCCGGCGGCGCTAACCGGAGCGGGGGGGGGGGGGGGGCCGTGGTGGCCGCCGTCTCGGTCTCGCTCCCGCCGGCCGCGTGGGGTCACGGGGAGGGGGGACCGGGGGGGGGGGGTGGTGGAGGGGGGGGGCTCGTGGACCGAGCGGACGCGCAGACTTGGGCTTGGACTGTGGTGGGAGATGTTAACAGTGGCGAGAGATGTTAACGGTGGTGAGAGATGTTAACGGTGATGAGAGATGTTGACAGTGATGAGAGATGTTAACAGTGATGAGAGATTTTAACAGTGATGAGAGATGTTAACAGTGGTGAGAGATGTTAACGGTGATGAGAGATGTTAACGGTGGTGAGAGATGTTAACAGTGGCGAGAGATGTTGACAGTAATGAGAGATGTTGACAGTGATGAGAGATGTTAACAGTGGCGAGAGATGTTGACAGTGGTGAGAGATGTTAACAGTGGCGAGAGATGTTAACAGTGGTGAGAGATGTTAACGGTGATGAGAGATGTTAACGGTGGTGAGAGATGTTAACTCCCTCGCCTGGTATACAGGAGGCCGTGGGGGTCGATCTCGACCCTGACGTGACGCCTGCTGCTGCTGTATATTTGGAGTCTGCGTTTCTCTCTCCGTGGTCGCGTGGATTTTTCTCCGGACCCTCCGGTTTTTCCCTCCACGTTTAGAATCGACGTCACGCGTTCAGAGTTATTTGGCTGCTATAAATGTTACAAACAATGATGCTGATGATGATAAGCCACTTCGTTGAGCTATCATTTGTGGCCAGGTTGCTTCTGAAAAAGAGCTATGTTGCTCAGTGGGGCCTTACCTGGTAAAGTAAAAAATAGTAAACAAAATACCACAATGCCCTCTTTAAGTAATTATTTCTCCCCACGTTAATTTTTTAAAACGTTTTTTCTCCATAATTTCGCACAATCCATCGGCAGCATTGGCTCAATACAAGCAAGAAATCCGGATCGGATTCGATATTCAGCGTCTCATCAGCGGAGTCCGGCTTGCTTCAACCAGTGGCCAGTGAACCGTCAGATGTTTCATAGGCCAGGATGTTTTGCTGCGAGCAATGGGTCCGAGGTATTGCCAGCATCGGTTGAAGCAATCCTGAATGAGACAATGAGTGTTTAAAGCAACCCATAGACGTTCATGCATTGAACCAACCGGTGCTGGTGAGACGGACTTCCAAAACGCCGTGCAGCTGATGGGTTGTGTACATTTTAATTATATTTTTTCTCACATTTGTTAAGCCGTGGCGAGACGTTCCCTTTGACCTGTTCCATTTGTATACTCACACAAATAATAGGGTGTTAATATTTATATCTTTGTACTGCATTTTGTGGTTGCATGACGGTTATGTTGGCCGAGTAGCGTAGCGGTGAGACAGGGTTTGCATCCACGAGAGGTGGGGTGAGATCGCGTTAATATAAATGTGTCGCTAAACCCGCCACCACCCGACACAGCCAATTAGTAAGGCTTGTCACGTAAACAAAACGTGCCAATTTGTTACTAGTTCAGCACACACACACCGGTTGTGTGCTGCAGAGTTAAACCCCAACCTCAACGTTCACAATTCGAGTGCCGTGGCGTTTCGCCGGTAATTACAACGACAGCAGCAGCCGGCATCATCAGGTGACAGCCAGAGCGTTGTGGAGAAACCCTGCCTCCTGTTTCAGAGGGGGGGTAGATGTGACGTCGTCACTTGTGAGACAATCAGGTGTGAGCACCAGGGCTAGCATCGTCATCATCAGCAGCAGCAGCATCGACACCTTTGCAATCATCATTACTTCCATCGTCACAATCAGCCAAATAATAATAATAATCAGCATCATCACTTTCATCATCAGCCGAATAATAATCTTTATCATAAGTATCAGCATAAGCATTACTCTGTCACCATCACTATCACCATCGTCGTCGTCGTCGTCATCACTATCACCAGCTGTCGAGGCTATACCGTTCGGTCGCTTTGTAAATTCTTGCCATAGGAAGGTGGAATTTCCACCTACGGGCTCAGCACCTGCAGCAAAACCGAGCATGAGTAACCCCGAGGGAGTTCCCTCTTGATTTCTAACATCTCAGCATAATCTTGATTTGAAGCTTTCGTGACTGCAGGAATCCATACTCTTTGGTTCTTTCGGTAAAGTCACGCAGGTAGAAATAAAATAAAATAACCTCGTGATTTGTTTTTTATTTTATTTCTAACTACGTGACTTTACCGAAAGAACCGAAGAGTATCTCATATGAAGCTGGAGAAAGCTGCGGAAGCCGGAGTGACTCGATGACACTTTCCCCTGGAAGCAGAGCTAGGCATGTGTACCCTACCGCAGATTTCTAATTTTTCTCCAAAACTATTTTTTAAACAGGAGAAATCTGCGGAAACCAGAGTGGCCCGGGGACACTCGCCCGTGAGTGCACTCCCAGGGACGTTTACCGCAGATTTCTGAATGTAATATTCCACATCCTCGTGTAAAATCCCGTGTGGCTCTTGGCCATAGGATGATCCTATTATGCAGCTCGTAGGGTCACGGTGGTTGGCAACCCTTGGAATTACGCGTAACGTGTACCAATCAATGGTGTGTGTTCAAACAATAGGCGAATCGCACATCAACGCACCTGATCCCATCAGATCTCTCTCCGAAGCTAAGCAGGACTGAGCCTGGACAGAGGGCAGCTTGGATGGGAGACCGACAAAGTGTATGTTGACGCGTGTTTTGGCTGCTGCAGGAGCTACGTTGTCAGTAGATGTCAATTACAATTGTACAGGGACTCCTCTACTTACGAACATTCGACTTACGAACTTTCAGAGGTACGAACAAACCTGTCCGTATGTCCAGTTGCCTGTTCGGACCAAGAGTCGTAAGTTCAACCACCACGCAATAGATGGCGGTGGTGGCATCTACATCTGCAGAACGTGAAGAATCAGTAGCATCTACATCTACAGAACATGAAGAACCAGTGGCATCTACTTCAACAGAACGTGAAGAACCAGTGGCATCTACATCTGCAGAACGTGAAGAACTAGTGGCATCTACTTCAGCAGAACGTGAATAACCAGTGGCATCTACAGAACGTGAAGAACCAGTGGCATCTACATCTAGAGGAGATTATACATCTTTTAAAGCCATTCCCCGTGTTTAATGTACACGCCGTACAACATGTTTGCAATCGACAGGAGCAAAGTTGGGACTAACGAACAAATCGACTTACGAACAGACCTCTGGAACCTAACTCGCTCGTAAGTAGAGGAGTCCCTGCATATTATTGTATTGTACTACGCTGCCAAAGTGTGTATGCTGCTCGTCGTCACTTTAACCACAGTGACCAGCGTGGCGAAGTATGGCCAGTTAAGCCTCATGACCCGCACGGTGTAGTGGAGGGCTTCATCCAGCAGTGGATTTACCAGAGGGTGTATTCGTACATTTGTATTGTGCGTGTGTACGTGTAGCCATGCGGCACGCTGCGATACGAATCCGGCGACCCGGGCTCGATCCCCACTCGCGAACAACTACAGCGAATATCTGAACCGGTCCCGGGCCTCCCCTGGGTCGACTCAGCCTTAAATGAGTACCTGCTGCGGTAGGTGTAAAACCATCAGCTACTGGGGGGAGACAAAGGCGGCCGCGCGTGGTGTTGTCCACCCACCCCCCCTTCCTTCGCGCGTGCCATGCCAGACCTTCGTAGGTGCTCGCGAACAGCACAAGCACTTGCCCCGGGAGTGTTGTTAAAGGCTATACGGGGAGAGGGCGATCTTCGTCTTTGTATGGCGCGCGCCTTGTTGTTGGCGTTTTAAAAGCGGTGTTCGCCTACTCGCATGGACGCACTGCAAACCCAGACCGATGTGCTCATTTCTCAACTATGCAGCCGGATTCTTTTTTTCGCTCGTGATTTTGTTTATTGTGAAAACCGTGGTTTCGGAGGCGGACGACTTTTCGTTGCTGGAAAAAAAGTATATGAAAATAAAACAAATAAACTATCACAATTTTGCACAAACGAAGGTATTTGTTTAACCCTTGAATAAAGGCGCGGCCCCTGCAATTGCCTGCACACGCCACTGCCGGCGGAAGGGGTCTCCACTGAGGGAGGGAGCTCTGTTGTGGCGCCACTCGAGACGATGCCTTTGGCCTACTCTTCCATGCGGTTCCGGACGTCTTGGAAGAAGTGGGAATACCCACTGCTATCATTTGCGAGTGGCGATCTCGCTTCCGAGAGAGAATCTCCATCGCTGGGCGGGGCCATCGACCGCCACGCGTTAACTCCGCACGACGGATCAGCCCGTGATCGGTGGTCGTCATGCGGGAACGCCCGGCACCTTCCATGGCAATGTGGAATTCCCGCCGCTATACATGTCCACACGATGAGCCACTTTCGTTGAGCTTATGCGATGGCCAGGCCCGCTGCTTCTAAAGGAGGGCCTGGTAAAATATATACAAAATGTTAACACTTCCGAGAATTTTCAACAACGCCACGAGAAATGTTCCGCCTCTTCCTGGCTCTGGAGACCTCCTGGAGAAGGTTCCGGGCGCGCGTTGACAACGATGGCGAACACGTGGGAGACTCTTCGACTTTTTGAAGCTATTTTGAAGCTTTTTTTTAAGCTATTAACATTGCTATCAACATTACATTTGTTATCACGTTACCGTGTATCCGTCACTTTTCCATAATAAAAAAACGGTAGTCGCGTAATGAGTGTTAACATTTTTCTGAAGCACCCTGTATATTTAAAACTAATTCAAAACACGTTGATGCTCGGGGCGAGTAACGGGACTTCACTCCGACTCCCTCCGTGTGTCCCCCCCCCCCTCTACTCCACTCCCTTCTCTGTGTCTCTCCGCTCGCCGTGAGAGTTGCAGACTAACGGCACGACCGTCTGTGCTCTGCGGTGTCCCCCTCCCGTGGCGTTTGAAGGTTGCCCTGCCGAGGCTCCTCCAAGGCGTTCTTTAACAATTCCTTCCGGGCCGTGCCGCAACAGCGCGGTTGTCCTGAAGCAGCTCCCGCCGGGACCGAAACGTCGGACG